TAGGATAATTAAGCGAGTGCTCTGTACATAAATAGCAGCTAGAACTGTAAAGGAAATCACAATAACCTCAGAAAAAGCAATAGATATATAAAGTGCAGCGCTAAAAAAACAATATATAAAATAAATGTGAGTTCAATAAAGTTCGTCCAGTTGGCTGAATCTCATATATGACACAAATAGTAATCTCAACAGCAGATAACTCAAAAGGTTGTGACAGGAAAAATGGCAGAAATGCGCACTCACCGACTGCGCATAGGAAATGCGCATATAAATATCCACCAAATGGAGTTTAAACAGCAGGCAGATGGTGAGTTTCCCTCAGGAGAAATGGTCATCAGACTTGGGTGAAGTAGTAATCTGCTAGGCCCAGAGGTCTCCTTTAAGGATATGTGGGTTTTCAGCCTGGGTACAGGGCTCCCTCCTCTGGATACTGGATGCTATTCAGGATTGCTCTGTGGGTTTAATAGCTCCTCCAGATAGGAGCCAAAGAGAGGGAGTGCCAATAGTGTAGTAAATTCTTGATGTTTATTGAATAAATATAATAAAAAGGTGTAAAGTAGGGTACAGGTACAATTGTGCCAATTTGTGATAAAAGCAGAGTACTGCAGCACTGACCCTAAAGTAAGCTGGCCGCTGGACCTCTTGGATGATGTCACATGCTGTCAGCTCCTCCTGAGGCCTTTCGTGCTAAGGCACATCATCAGAGGGGAGGCTAACAGCCGTCTGGCTGATGTCTATTCCTTAAATAGTGCGAATGGTGCATGCGCATTAGGCCACCGCCATTTTCGCGGAGATCGTGAGACTGCGCATGCAAGCTCTCAGAAATACCATTTTGCCATGGATTGTCTTAAAAGCTAAACACACTCCACAGAGTAGTGTTACTCTCCATATAGAAAGCCGACAGCCACAAGCGAACGGCGCATCACCCCGGGGAAATACACGTAGATACAGCCATATGCATGACTGATCATATAGTTGATAAGAGAAACGATGTAATAGAGGATACCCACAAAAACTCCACAGCTCCCTAAACAATAGTATTTCCTGGGATGGTAAACATATAGGTTGCCCAGAGTGTATCTATATTTTTAAATATTCCTATTTATCCATGGCATGTAGGGCGCCCTGAAAATAATAATAACAAATAAATTACAAAAAAAAGAATATAAAATACAAGACCAAATTTCCAAGAATGACAATCCCATAGGATACCCGGAAAATTTAGTCAGTAAGTATAGTTAACCATCTACAGTATATAAGGTGCTAAAGATAGTAATAGCAATGAATACCATACAAGCTATAATTATAAAACCGAAAAAGGGAAAAATGTTAATAAAGTTAAAAATAAAAGTAGAGATAAAGTTAAAATAATAATAAATTTCTGAGGACATATAATGTAAAAAGTTATATAAAATTAAAACATAGCTGATCCAATATGAATTCCTTTATGTTAAATAGCTAATACCTATAAAAATGCGTCAAACATAAAATTACTTTGTGTTGAATAGCTAATACCTATAAAATACCAATAAATGGGCTAATGTCACGTCCAACCATATGATGGTTAACCAGGTGAGATTACCCTAAATCAAATGCAAGGGTAAGTCAAAATATTATAAAAACCTATATAATATTGGCCAGATGGTTGGATCTAGTAATGAGAAACACTAGACATAAATTCCAAAAATGCAAATATAAATCCGGATATGTCATACAGTAGGCATGATGAGGGTAATATTGGGTCAAAGCAGGAAATATACCCATAGGGGGTGGGAGGAAGTGAAAAAACCCCTAGAGATCAGATAGGTAGAACAAGTGTATTAATATCCCTGTGGTAGAAAAAACAATATGGAGGGGCGGGACAGGGCCAGGTTAATTTTTAGCTATAAAACAATTGACATCAATCTCAATGTTAAGTCCCCAAGGATGTAGGGTATCCAATTCGAACACCCATCTGGTCTCAGCTTGTGATACGGCCCTAACTTTGATTATGCCTCTCCAATGAGTAGAGAGACTATCAATTCCCACAAATTTGAGGGAAGATGGATCCTTATTGTGAAAAAGCCAATAGAGATTAGAAAGGGAATGCTCTCTGTATCCTTTCCTGATATTAGCCACGTGTTCACGCAGGCGGTCACGTAGTCGTCTTGTTATGCGGCCTACGTATTGCTTTTGACAAGGGCACTGTAGCAGGTATACTAAATATCTACTCTCGCATGAAATAAACCGTTTGATAACATATGATTTTCTTGTTATATATGATTCAAAAGTATCAATTCGATGTTTTCTTATGCCATTACATCTACAGATAATGCACCTATTACAAGGGTGGAACCCTTTTAGGTCGTTAAAGAGTGAGATACCTTTTGGGGGGTCTACCACGTTAGGTGCAATCTGATGTCTAATTGCCGTGGCTTTTCGGAAAATGATTTCTGGTTTGTTAGGTAGAATTTTCGACAGTATGGGATCCATTTTTAGTATATCCCAATTTTTATTAATAATCCTCCCAATCTGTCTGAATTGTGTCAAAAAAGTGGTTATAAAAGGACAGATTTTGGCTTGCGTCAATTTAGGTTTGTTTAATAGCATCTCATTTCTATCTAGTTGCGCAACTGTCTGAATAGTGCTCTCCAGAGTAGTCCCTTTGTATCCTTTCTCCAGGAATCTACTCTTAAGGATATCAGCTTGAGTCCGGTAGGTGTCAACATCTGTGCAATTGTGTCTAATGTGCATAAACTGGCCCTTTGGGATGTTGCCCAACCAGTTAGGGTGGTTGCAACTATCTGTTGGAATATAGAAATTCCTGTCCGTTGTTTTAAAACATGACTTAGTGACAATTTTCCTGTTAAAATTAATAAGGGTGAGGTCTAAAAAATTTATTTCCCGCCGACTATATACATAGGTAAGTTTGGCGATTCCTCCTCCCCATTCCATAGGATACCGTCTATGTACCTTTTATACATTACCAGCTCCAGCCAATCTCTCGCATATATTAAGTCTTCCTCCATTGGGACATAAACAGATTGGCTAAACTGGGGGCAAATTTGGCCCCCATTGCAACATTTTTAATTTGCAAATTATAAGACTTACTGAACCAAAAATAATGGTGGTTCATCGCAAATTCCAACAGGTCTAAAATAAAGTGCTTCTGTATAGTAGGTAAGGTGCTATGATATGTTTAATAAAAATCAGCTGCCTCCATTCCATCAGTATGGTTTATTGTCAGGGCTCCCAGGTATGACCAGAGGTGTGTGACTGACGCAGGGAAACGCAGACTTCAGATATGTGATAAACAATACAATTTATTAACACTAACCATACAAACATAAACGCAGTGCAATACTAAACATAATACAGTGCAAACAAACCAAACCAAACCACCCACAGATAACAGTACATACAAGCAAGCGTCGTCAGGCAGGCCGGGTCAATATCAATTGGGCAGGTAGGTACAGGGGGAGCAAGCAGAGAATGGTCGGGGTCACAGGCCAGGTTCAGCAGGTAGCAAGCAGCGTAGTACAGAGGGTCAGGCAGAGGGATGGTCAGGGTCACAAGCCAGAGATCAAAACAGGTAACAAGCAGCGTAGTACAGAGGGTCAGGCAGAGGGACAGAAACAGGATGCAGGACAGATACAGGGCCCAGGACAAACACAACACCAAGGCAGAGTCTGTGGGTCTGGCCATCCCTTAAATACCCCAGCATCATCAGTTCCAGGTGTTAGCTGGCTGAAAGGTTGAGTCTCTGATTGCTGGGAGCACCCGCTGGCCAGCCCTGGTACTGCAGATCAAAAGGCAGGTGAGTCCCACCATTGCTGGCCAGTCCATTCCTAACAGTACCCCCCCCCAAGGAGCGGCCTCAGGACGCTCCAAACAGTCCTAGCTGGGCAAAATGTTCCACCGCCCGGGTCTGGTAACTGGCGGGATATCAAAGACTGGCACACCGGGCAGGACTCCGGGCAGCGGCACACCGGGCTGGACTCCGGGCAGAGGCACACCGGGCTGGACTCCGGGCAGAGGCACATCGAGCAGAGGCACACCGGGCAGAGGCACACCGGGCAGAGGCACACCGGGCAGAGGCACATCGGGCAGAGGCACACAGGCAGGACTCCGGGCAGAGGCACATCAGGCAGGACATCCGGGCAGAGGCACATCGGGCAGAGGCACATCGGGCAGGACTCCGGGCAGAGGCACATCGGGCAGGACTCCGGGCAGAGGCACATCGGGCAGGACTCCGGGCAGAGGCACATCGGGCAGGACTCCGGGCAGAGGCACATCGGATTACCAGGCGAAGCAGCAGGCAGCGGGCCACCAGGCGGGAGCAGCAGGCACCGGGCCCCCGGGCGGAGCAGCAGGCACCGGGCCCCCCCAGGCGGGGCGACATGCATCGGGCCCCCGGGCGGAGCAGCAGGCACCGGGCCCCGGGGCGGGGGGCGACCGGGCCGGGGCAGCAGGCACCGGGGCATCCCCCGGGCGGGGCGACAGGCACCGGGCCCCCGGGCGGGGCGGCAGGCAGGCACCGGGCCCCCGGGCGGAGCGGCAGGCACCGGGCCCCCGGGCGGGGCGGCAGGGCACCGGGCCCCCGGGCGGAGCAGCAGGCACCGGGCCCCCGGGCGGAGCAGGCAGGCACCGGGCCCCCGGGCGGGGCGACAGGCATCGTGCCCCGGACGGGGCGACAGGCACCGTGCCCCCAGGCGGGGCGACAGGCATCGTGCCCCCAGGCGGGGCGACAGGCATCGTGCCCCCAGGCGGAGCGGCGGGCGCCGGACCCCAGGCGGAGCGACAGGTCTCGGGCCCTCAGGCGGAGCGGCGGGCGCCGGACCCCCAGGCGGAGCGACAGGTCTCGGGCCCTCAGGCGGAGCGGCGGGCGCCGGACCCCCAGGTGGAGCGACAGGTCTCGGGCCCTCAGGCGGAGCGGGCGGGCGCCGGACCCCCAGGAGGAGCGACAGGTCTCGGGCCCTCAGGCGGAGCGGCGGGCGCCGGACCCCCAGGAGGAGCGACAGGTCTCGGGCCCTCAAGCGGAGCGGCGGGCGCCGGACCCCCAGGCGGAGCGACAGGTCTCGGACCCTCAGGCGGGAGCGGCGGGCGCCGGACCCCCAGGCGGAACGACAGGTCTCGGGCCCCCAGGCGGGCGGGCGGGCACCGACCCCCAGGACAACAGGTCTCGGGCCCGAGTCAGGCGGGCGGGACCGCTGGCCCCTGGGACAGACATTGGATCGTCTGGCGGACAGCGGGGGCATCGGGTCACCAGGCATCAGGTCATTTGGCTCCCCAGCGGGCACCGCGTCATCTGGCAAGGCAGTGGGCTCCGAGTCAACTGGTATGACAGTGAGCGGACCCCGGGTCATGGTACCGGATTGTCTGGCTCGACAGAGCGCGGGCATCGGGACCCCCACCAGGCCCTGACAGCGGGCACTGGGTCACCAGGCATCAGGTCATTTGGCTCGACAGCGGGCACCGATCAGGCCGGACCCCCAGGGCGGATCATCTGGATCAACAGCGGGCATCGAGTCAGGAGGAGCTAATAGGATCGTCAGGCTGGATCAGTTCATCATGCGGGTAGAGGCATCGGGCTGAATGCCGGCGCGGAGCCAGGTCTGAGTAGGCGGCTTCAGGCCGAGGCGGTAGAGGTTCAGGCCCCCAGAGGCTTTCAGGCCGCACCGAGTAGAGGCATCAGGCCGAGTAAAGGCATCAGGCCGAGTAGAGGCTTCAGGCCGAGTAGAGGCATCAGGCCGATAGAGGCTTCAGGCCGACAGCGGGACCGCGTCATTCAGGCAAGGCAGTGGGCATCAGGTCAACTGGTATAGAGGCTTCAGGCCGAGTAGAGGCTTCAGCGGGCCGAGTAGAGGCATCAGGCCGAGTAGAGGCATCAGGCCGAGTAGCACCGATCAGGTACCGGATCATCTGGCTTCAGGGCGAGTAGAGGCATCAGGCTGAAGATCAGAGGCATCAGAGGCATCAGGCTGCGTACCGGCATCAGGCTGAGTAGAGGCATCAGGCCGAGTAGAGGCTTCAGGCCGAGTAGAGGAGGCATCAGGCCGAGTAGAGGCTTCAGGCCGAGTAGAGGCTTCAGGCCGAGTAGTAGGCATCAGGCCGAGTAGAGGCTTCAGGCCGAGTAGAGGCTTCAGGCTGAATGCCGGCGTCCGGTGAGTAGAGGCTTCAGGCCGAGTAGTAGAGGCTTCAGGCCGAGTAGAGGCTTCAGGCCGAGTAGAGGCATCAGGCCGAGTAGAGGCTTCAGGCCGAGTAGAGGCATCAGGCCGAGTAGAGGCTTCAGGCCGAGTAGAGGCTTCAGGCCGAAGTAGAGGCTGCATCAGGCCAGAGTAGAGGCATTCAGGCATCAGGAGTAGAGGCATCAGGGCCGAGTAGAGGCATCAGGCTGAGTAGAGGCTTCAGGCCTGAGTAGAGGCTTCAGGCTGAGTAGAGGATCAGGCTGAGTAGAGGCATCAGGCTCTGAGTAGAGGCATCAGGCTGAGTAGAGGCATCAGGCCGAGTAGAGGCTTCAGGCTGAGTAGAGGCATCAGGCTGAGTAGAGGCATCAGGCTGAGTAGAGGCTTCAGGCTGAACCACGGAAGGCAGGCTCACCGGTTTGGATACTGGCAGGATGGTATTGGTTGGAAAGAATTTTCGCTTTTTTCTGGTTTTAACTACTGGAGCACTGCAAGTAAACGCAGGTCTGCAAACGAATGGAGCAGCTGGGACAGAGAAGAACTGGAGGATGGAACAGGAGAGGGAGCGGTTGCTACAGAGGGCTCTTTTACAGGGTTAAAGGCAGGATAGGTGCAGCGAGTGGGAACAGGGTACTGACATGCGGTAGATAGCAGGGCAGGAGGAGCTGTTGGGAATGCAGGAATAGAGTTTTGAGGAAATAGATTAGAAGCAGGACTGGGTCTTTGTAAGCTGACTGAGGCTGGGTGCAACAAATCTGTCCATGTCTGCAGTATGGGTTGAACAAAGCTGAGCTTACACAAAGCCTGTCTGGTCAATGACTGTACTGCGTTTATACAATCTCTTAGTGTCTGTGGTGAACATGTGGAATAACGCTCCAGAAAGTAACCCACATCATCCTCTAATAACCACACCAGGGACTCTACCTGGTCTGCACTAAATGGTGGCAAAAATTCATCCCTGCATTCGGGGGAACCAGATGAAACCAACTCAGCACAAACCTCAATCAAAGGCTGCACCTCAGAGAACTCTGTGCCCTGATCTACTAGAACATGAGCGAGCCCGTATACATTCTAGCAGTTCATCCCGGGTATACTCCTTCAGAGTTTGATAAGCATACTCCCTGTCATCAAACACTAGCAGATATAAATATTCAACCTCATCAAGATCCATCCTTCCCATCAACAAGCCAAGATGGCTTCCCTGTGCAGCCACTTCTGGTCAGGATTGGCCTTGGTGTAATGTCAGGGCTCCCAGGTGTGACCAGAGGTGTGTGACTGATGCTGGGAAACGCAGACTTCAGATATGTGATAAACAATACAATTTATTAACACTAACCATACAAACATAAACGCAGTGCAATACTAAACATAATACAGTGCAAACAAACCAAACCAAACCACCCACAGATAACAGTACATACAAGCAAGCGTCGTCAGGCAGGCCGGGTCAATATCAATTGGGCAGGTAGGTACAGGGGGAGCAAGCAGAGAATGGTCGGGGTCACAGGCCAGGTTCAGCAGGTAGCAAGCAGCGTAGTACAGAGGGTCAGGCAGAGGGATGGTCAGGGTCACAAGCCAGAGATCAAAACAGGTAACAAGCAGCGTAGTACAGAGGGTCAGGCAGAGGGACAGAAACAGGATGCAGGACAGATACAGGGCCCAGGACAAACACAACACCAAGGCAGAGTCTGTGGGTCTGGCCATCCTTAAATACCCCAGCATCATCAGTTCCAGGTGTTAGCTGGCTGAAAGGTTGAGTCTCTGATTGCTGGGGAGCACCCGCTGGCCAGCCCTGGTACTGCAGATCAAAAGGCAGGTGAGTCCCACCATTGCTGGCCAGTCCATTCCTAACATTTATGTTCGTGTACAGGGAGGCTACGTCCGCTGTTACTAAAAAGGTATTGGGAGGTATATCTACGGTTCTAACTTAATTAAGCACCTGCTTTGTATCACACAAGTAGGATGGTGTTTGCGTGACTAAAGGTTGGAGAAAAAAATCTATATACTCTCCAATTTTAGAACTGAGGGATCCAATCCTGCAAATTATAGGTCGTCCAGGTGGTTGGACGTGATCTTTATGTATTTTGGGGAGGATATAAAGAACTGGAAGCTTCTGTATGGTGGGACATAAGAAAGCTTTTTCTCTTTTATTTAAAATGTTGTTGTCATAAACCCCTATTAATAATAACCTGAAGGGACTTCTTATAACTTAACATCGTATCCTTAGGTAAAGGGGCATACGTAGTAGTGTCACTTAAGATTTCATTGACCTCTGTTACATAGTCATTCTTGTTCAAAATCACCACTCCACCACCCTTGTCAGCCGGCCTGATCACCAAGTCTTTTCTCTCAAATAATAATTTAGTCGCTTTTATATCTCCCGAACCATCATATAAACGTTTATCAGGTATATTTCTTAAATCTTTCAAAGCCTTCTCTTTAAAGAGATTAATGTAAGAATGCGCTTGCGGGGGTAGATTGTACGTGGATGCATTACGCAAATTAGAATGTGTAAACCCATAAGAGATGGTGTTGTTGGTGATGGGGTGGTTAATAAAGTACCTCTTAAGGAACAGTTGCCTTGCAAACTTGTGCACATCAATGTAGGTATTAAACTTATTGATTTTGTTGGCAGGTGCGTATTTCAGTCCCTTGTCAAGCAATCTTAATTCATCATCAGTTAACTGAGTTTTGCTAAGGTTAAAGATACCGTGACCAATTACACCCTTCTCTTTTTGGGGGGTGTCCATTCTCCCTCCTTCCTCCTCTCTTTCCCCTCCTGTGTCCCTCCTTTTGCACGGCATCCGTCCTTCCTCTAAAAAAGGCTGCCTGGGGTAATTGGACTGATGGAAGCTATTCTGCACAGGGTTTTGGGGAGGTTTTCTATGGTTCCAATAGTTCTGATTATCGGTATGTTTTTGCCACTGGCATTGATTATTAGGTTGATGATGATTAACTCTATTTTGCCAGTTGGTCCCCCTATACTGACGTGGGGACTGATAGCATGCATTATGTTGTTGGTTATGGTGTTTGAAACCCGAATACTGAGTATTATGTCGGGGTTTATGAAACTTGTTATTCCTAGGGGGAGTATTATAATTGTTGTAGGACATTAAGCCAGTTCTATTCACCGGAGTGTTGTTATTGGTAGGGTGGCATCGGTAGTCCCTTGAACCGATGTTATCATCTTGAAAGGGTTCAAATCTATTAGAAATAGGGACATTGAACTGAAAGGCCTTATCATTAGGATTACTTCTATACCCATTCCTATTAGGTTTCGGTCTGGAACTTGTAACTGGAGGTTTAGGGTTAGGGATAGCGAGGGTGGGTTCTTTAGTTCTCTGCCACTCAAATACCACATGGTCTGAGTAATCCTTAAAATCCCTGTGGTATTTTTTCTTTTTCTTAGTTTTCTGTTCTCTTTCTATCCCCTCCTTATGTGTTTTGAGTTTATCCAACTCTATCTTATAATTATCGTTACTCTTGAAAGGGGTTAGTTTGTCTCGTATCAAATTGACTTCTTTATCAAGATGAGCCAGTCTTTTCATCTTACGAGTAATAAGGATACCAGTAATATTGAAAAACTGGAACCACTCAAGATGTCTACTAGTATCCTCTGAGTCTGGACGTATATCCCAGCGCAGTGATCTCGTAACCATGCGTTCCTTAATGTATTTGTCTAAAAACTAAATATCCCATAGTGTTTTATTTTTTGCAGAAAAAAGAAAGTCTGAGAGCACATGAGGCCACAAGGAATTAATAGGCAAGTGCTCCTCCTATGTGTAACAGTTTACTATTGTTGTCCTTCTGGGTATATATATACAGTATATATATGTGTGTGTATATCTTTATCTATCTGTATATATATATGTATATATATATATATATATATATATATATATATATATATATACCTCCTTGTTAGTTTACATGCACTATACCAGATACAGTGGCACTAAAGACAAAATTTTTCACTGGACATGGAGGCAGCAGCGGGAGCCATTGGTTCCTGCTGCTGTCAATTACACCCTGTGAGGAGATAATGGGAGTGGGGCCAGGGCACGCTGTATGTGTCTATGGAAACACACTGAGTGGCTTGGGACTGAGCCTGCACGAGTGCCCCCATAGCAAGTGGCTTGTTATGGGGGCATTTGAGAGGAGGGAGGAGCCAGGAGTATCAGCAAGGGGTCCCAGAATAGGAGGATTGGGGCTGCTCTGTGCAAAACCATTGCACAGAGCAAGTAAGGTTTGTTAATAAAAAATGTACTTTTGCAATTACTTTAACCATACCCTTCTGGTGTGGAATTCTAGTTTTAGTTTAGGGCTCAAAAACCAGCTAGATTAGGCATCAAGCATCCACTTCTGGCAGTTAAAGGTCCAGTTGTATGACAGATTAGAAACTACTGTTATTACTGCTTCCCTGCCGCCCTATAGCAGAAATACTATTACTAGAGCCCCGGGTCAACGGTCTGCATGATTTTTAAGGTGCATGCAATACAATGACTACAAAACTGCTTGCAAACCTTTTCATTTAATGAACATACCACTTTTATGCCTGACAACACATGTATTGACGGTAAATACTGAGTGGGCGAACACAATTTGAACCGCATTTGGAGGCTATGGAGGAAGCTGGAGCAGTTGCTTAATGATTATTCTTGAGCTGATTTTGACCATTCTATAACTTGATGGTCAAATACATCTGGTAAGCCTGCTTTGAGCACGGAGTGGGGTGACACGTATTTTCACATGGATACCGTTTGATCGCCTAGCAATTGAAGATTCACGTTTACACCTTTTGTTATTTTTCAAATTCTTCTTGGAATTGGGACTTATTTTTTCACTTTTATATTATTTTTATATTGTATTCAAAGTAATGTCTCATCCAGCTTCACGGATGTTCAGCTGGGTTATTGTTTATTTACATTTTTAGCACTACACTTTTATTTGTATGTCTTGCAAATTATTTGTATCAGAATTTAGTGTTGGCAGCTTACGATCTATCTGAACCAGTGCAGATTTTGATGGTATATTCACAGGTTCCTCTCCTGCCAGCAGTAACATGCTGCTGTGTACTTCTCTGCACAGCAGAGAAATACACAGTAGCATGTTTCCCTAGTAAAACAGCACACAGCTCATACAGTAAAACACACACAACACATAGTTAACCCTTTGATTACCCCAGATGTTAACGCCTTCCTGCCCAGTGTTATTAGTACAGTGCCAGGGCCGTCTTTAATATTGATGGGACCCTGGGCAAACATTTTCTTGCCCCCCTCCATGAAATTTTGCTCTCTGCCTGCTCTGAGACATACAATAAATAACAGCTAAACTCAAAATCTGTTTACTCCAGCAGATCAGGCAGCAATTGCTATTGATTGTCTTAGCTTACAGCATATCATTATCGTTCACTGACTGGTTGATAGAGGTTACAGCACACATTACGGCTCACTGATTTGTTGCTAGAGATTGCAGAACATGATTTCTGCTCACTGATTGGTTGCTAGAGCTTTTTGCACATCGTTACTGCTCACTGATTGGTTGCTAGAGGTTACTGCGCACCATTAATGGTCACTGATTGTGTGCTAGAGGTTATTGTACATCATTATCTTTCACCCATTGGTTGCTAGAGGTTACTGCACATCCTTACC